AAAATCGACCAACGAATCTCTTCTCCATGCACATTCATACGAAATGAAAGTCCCCCCAACAACATTTAAGTGCTTCGACTAGGTTTGCGAGACAACTAGTAAATCATATATAAGAGCTGTGTCCACCCTATTTCGTTTAAGGTGATGAAGGATTGATAGTTGAATTTTCCCACAATGATATGAGTAGACATGACGTTTCCATTATATTTCGCATAGCCTTGCTTTGGGAACGTCATGTCTACTCATAGCATTATGAGAAAATGCAACTATAAGACATTCATTAACACAGCTCATATATATGACTTACTGGTGGTCGTCGATTGCTATACCAAATATAAGTTTGCTTCATCGACAATCCTACCACAGAATGTGATATCAAAAATGTCTGGCCTTCCTTGAAATTTACATTTGCCCTGTGAGCATAGGGTACTCGTGACAATGTTGCGTAATGGTTACTGTTTCGAGATTGTACGATGAACTGTCATAGTTCGAGTCCCGCTAAGGATGTTGATAAGACCCAGGTGAGGTTGAACCTATAGTCCACCCTGAAGGATAATAACTTTTGGGAAGCAAGTTTATGTGAAATCCAATGGTAACGTCAGCTCTACTCATATCATTGTGGGAAAATTCAACTACCAGTCCTTCATCACCTTAAACGAAATAGAGTAAACACAGCTCATAGATTTTAAGTGATCCGGCGTGGACACAATGGAAAAAGATGCAATTACAAAAGGGGTTTTTATATGAAAAATTAATTGCAAATGAATGGTGATCCATGTCAAACATGTGAACTCTATCAACTATAACAAAATTCCGTCTGAAATGCACTATTAATGTACCGATAAATTTCCTTGTATGGATACACACACAAAAGTGTATGCATGTGAAATGTCACTTTGGTCGTGTGAAGACATGCCAACCTCCATGTACTGGCGAAGTTAATATCGAATGAAGTATTTAGGGTTATCTCAGTCTCCTTGAAGCAGCCAGAGAAGTGAATAAGTCTCCTATATTTTGACTCTATATCTCACATTAAATCTGATTGAATACAAATTCATACAATTTATATGCAAATACCCTATAGATAAACTCAAAGTTACTCTTCCTCGTTAATCTATACACATTAGACACAGTATGAAACTTGCATTAGGCAAGAATGAGTTCAGGTTGGTCTGCATCGATACGAAATCTGCCTGATAATCGACTAAATCATTCGGGGTTGACGTCAATCTAGGAGTGCGATCATCAAGAGGTGATAAAATAAGATTTTTTGGCATGGCTTTGACCAAGACATCTCCTTTTATATTAAGGAAATCTTTAAAAAGGCAGGACCTGCTGGGGATGAACGCTTGCGGAGTCTGACAAGATTAAATTTCTCCATTCAGATCTGGCTGGAGTGAAAGAACGTATCCATCTGCCTCTTCTTTATAGACGGGAACGGAAAAAGGAAGCTGTATCATGAGCCCTCGCAGCAAACTTTCAGAAGATTGGCAATAACAATCTGGTTTTGCTGGATGTTTGCGCATCTGTAGACGAGGTAGGGAGTGAAGTGTCCTAACGGGTTGAAAGTTAAAATCCCCGTCTTGGGTTGTCATGGTTTCAGCTGCGATTTTATTCATGACTGACGAGCAATTGAGGCCGTTATCGAGAGGTTTGAATTCAGAATGGCATCTGGCTCTCATACTAGCGATATAGTTTTGCACTTCAGACTCTATATTTGGGGTCCACTGGTCCGACCGCAAACTACCCAAAGCATGCAGCTCAGATACGGCCTTGCTGTCCTGGCCGAATAGATGGAAACTGTCAGTTTCTGACAAAATAATGAGGCAGGCAAATAATAGCATGCACATGCTAGGACATGCAAAATATTAATAAAAAGATAAACAGTAGTTAAAGCTTTTGCAGAATCAACTCTTAAATTATAAAGCGATGTAGCGGCATAGAAGAATTCATCTCTCGAGTCGAATTTCTGATTGAAAATGAGGCTTAAGAACCTCTTTCATAAACTTAAAGTGATTTAGGAAGCAAGTTCAAAGGTATACATTTGTAAGATAACCCTAAAATCCTTATAACTGGCATGCTTGATAAAATTTAGTCATGTAAAAGTGAATAATGACTCTAATTAATTTTCACCTCGTAATAACAAAAGGAATAAAGGTCAATGTAGCAAGCTGTATTTTGTGGTTAATGGACCAATGATTGCCAGATGTTGATTCGTCAGAGCTAAGTGGAGGGCCATATTGTGATACTTAAAGTCCATATGACACTTGCATCAAATTTTTTTAAACTGAGACATTCACATATTAATGCATTCCCGAAGACCTGGGTAGCCCGACGACTAGCGACTATAAATATTGACTACTAAAGTAAAAATGCTTTAAAGGAAACTAAGACGGAGGCTTTGATTCCGTCCAACTTAAAAAAACATGAGTTTAAATTTTGATACTTTCTACTTTTACACTTTTATTGATGATCAGGAGAGAGATTTTCTCAGCAAATATAGGCTATCAAACCAGTCTAACAGATTTGTATACCTTATGTTCAGAGCTTTCTATAAGGGTTTCCCTATGCTGCTAATATGCAGGCACCATATGATTAGAGTGGCACACATTTCCGCTTTGTCGGACCTAGAAGCATCAGGAAGCTAAACACTGAATTTAACTAAGGGGAGCTATTAGTGTATCGCATATGTACTCATTTGTTTATGCGCATAGTTGAATGCGGAGTGTTGTACATTCTGAGCCTAGCATGTGGCGTGATATGGAAAAAAGACTATCCTACTCATAATTCGCCTGATGTACTCAGTCGGCCACACAACTAATTGGTCGGAATACGAACTTGATCAAAACTAATCTTTGCCAATTCAAAGCTGAACTATATGTATAAGAAAATAAGGGTGATAAATACATTCCTTAGTTCCGTACTATGACGAACAGTGATAAAATGCTTTCGCATTCTTTGAGAGCGCTGAGCCATAGTGCATATTTGTAAACCCTAGAGGATAGAGGAAAATATGGTGTTGGCAAGGATGCAGTTATATACGAATATCTAGCATAAAATATACTTAAATACAGTGGCAATATCTTCAACTACTCCACTCAAACATATAAACCACATCCTAGTGCGCATAAACAGCCTCTCTTTCACAAGATGAGGCATAGGAAGCACATATACTTCTGTAGAATGTTTTTTATCCCTGGGTATGGAGCTGACCACTCGTGTTGTAGTTGGCTTTGCCGAAGCTGGTTTATTCTAAGACAGTAGTAGCAATCCAATTACTATAGGTTTATCAAACCAAGGGACTGTAGCTAGCAATCCTTCATAAATCAGCTCTTATAAAAAGACTAAGCTAATAAAGATTGCCATGGTAGTTTGAGTTAAGATGAGGGGAAGAACATAAGAAATGGATTCGTCGGTTATGAGTGTTGTATTCACTCTTATTTAGTCCGAGTGAAAATGAGATCGCTTACCTGTGGTCTTATTTGATTTCACGCTTTCCTGAAAATTAAATAAGAAAAGCAAGGCAATATTAATTGAGGCAAGCCTATGGGCGCATGTTTATGAAATATGCCAAGATAGAATAACCTTAGTAAGCAATAAGGAACCCGGGTAAATGGCATAGGTACCCTGCAAAGAAGAGATGTCCTTATTTGCCTGTGACATAGAAGATATAACTCATAAGAGTAAAATGGAGTAAATCTTTATACAAAGGGGGAATTCTGTATTTTTAATTAATATAGGGCAAGTAAATATGAGGGCACCTGTTGAGTCTATGCAAATTTTGTGTGTGCTGAAAATGGCATCGGGAAAAGTTTGATTGCGATATGAATTTAATGAGATCGTCGACGCCGAAATTCTAATTATTACCAATGAGATAAGTTTAGTCAAAGTTCAAATTTTAATGCATCAATTTTAGTGTCTAAAGCTCTTTCGAAACGCGCATGTCACTGCCGGCCTTGTAAGAAGGGTCGGGGCAAGGTTACGACATTCTTTAGATAGTGATTGCTAAATGCAAACCGAAGGCAAACAGCATTTGACTCCGGGGAAGTACAAATGCCAGCAAATAAAAAATCAGCCTGGTACGTACAATGCCTTGTAATTACCTTGTGAGTATTTGGGGACCACAACGTGAAACACGGAACAGGCGAGCTGGATTACCAAACAATAGCTTTGCTGTACTTTCGTTCATTAATAGTCAAGCTTAGTGCATATTAAAAGGCTGCTCTGATGATATATCTCCAAAAGAGGTGCGATTTTTAAAGGAAGCCTTGCTTGCCACTTAATACTTTGAATGTTTTGCAAACGGGACAGTGGCTTTTAGAGTAGGAAGGCCCTTCTTGACTAACTTTTGAGGATATAACAGAAAGACAAATTGGTAGCGAGTACAACATATGGCCTATCTAGAATAGGCCATAAGTTTGAGATCCCGCCCAACACATCGCTGAGCTGTGCAACAATAGTGATTTACTGTAGAAGGGATCAATGAAGCTTATCGAGCCCACTTTCATTTATAGTAAAAAACGGAAATATTCGTAGGTCGACCTCACCAGAAGACGAAATCTGCTCTCCTAGTTGTCTTGTCTTATTATCTTGTCTCTAGTTGCTTCGACTTTAATAAGACATTCAGGCTGCCGCAGTCCTCGAGTTCCCCTCCTGCGGTTCCGGCGAAGACATGGTGAGCTCTCGTCTGTCATAACAGACAAAACCCTGCTGTCGACGTCTTCTGGTGAGATCGACCAATACACCTTTCCACAAACTGAAAGGAGCTATATATCAGGAGACTCGTCGAAACCTAGTTGCGCCTCCCATGCTCATTGAATCTTGTTTAAAAAGTAAGGGTTGTCATTCCGCGATTGATACCTACAAGCCATGTAGGTGATCCAGCAACGAGGAGTGTAGCCCAGATTTTGGTAAGCCGAACAAAACCAACACACGTTCTCATCCAGAATATATCGCACTCTTGAACCCCCTCACTCTTCATGTACACACCTGAAAGGAATCGAAGCCATTGCGCACGTGTCTAGCCTTACTACCTAACCATTGAAAACCATTACGTAGAATGTATAACTTTCAAGGTAAGACAGATCGCTGACTCCACATATGTGGATTTGACCACTTTTGGAGTGCTTATGATACGTATGCGAGGT